AAACAGTGGTGGAAATTCCACATTCCTGTGATAGAGACCAGTCTCGAACAACCTCCACACCACGTTTGTCATGGGCGTTGTTTGTCCACACTTCACCATGCTGGTCCGTAACGGCTATTTGAAGGTGTATTTAACTCTTATTACGGGGTTCACCATTTTTGCAATGTAAATTTCTAAAAAATTACAATGACACCCATCAGCTCGACACGCAGTACCACTATTTGGGAACTCTTTACTAACTTACTCTTAGGGTGTTGGGTAGTTCATCGCCTGGGATTGGAACCTTGGACCTCAGCGGCTGGCTAACCGACTCTGACATGGCCATTGAGCCCACGAGCACACCCAGCCACCTCTAGATCAATACAAGTGTATTTGCATTCTCGCTGTAGCGTTGTCTGCAGGTGTTGATTTGTCTGACTGTTAACAGTTCCTCGGAGCGATAATGGGTGCCGACTACAAGCTAGCAAGGAAGCTCTGTGAGATGAGTGAGTATGGAAGTTCCTTTTTTTCTGTCAGGAGATACACCTACTGTCGGATTATATGAATATACTCCACTCAGCTAGCCAGCGTGGATTGGCGATGACAATGAGCATAGACGGTGAAGCACAGGTAAAGTACAACAATACATTTTGCTGCACTTTCTTCTGTTGCCCACAACATAGCTCCGTAGCAGTCTCTTGCACATGTCAGGAACGGTGTTCACACATCCAAGCACTCTGCAGGCTTAGCTTTGCTTTGCTTCTGCGTTCTGACAAGATCGGACACAGTCCAGGTAATTTGGTCAAAAGCATAAGTATTAATGGCATTGAAATAATACAGCTATATAGGCCAGATTGACTCAAAACAAGCCAATCAATCTCCTGCATCTCAAGGGAACATCTACGGAAATTTACTGTTGAGGTTTATTTCATAGCCAACAGGGAGAGCAATGGTCAAATATCATCAGCTTTTCATTTCATCATCTATACGTCTGACCTATCCGAATGAGCAGTCAAAACATAGAGTGAATCTCCACTCATTGGCAGGCAACAGCTCTATGTTCGCTATGATGACAATGGCATAGTTTTAAGTTATTTTTATTATACTTTGTTTAACCAAGTGAGAACTCAAGAGACTAGGATGAGTCTCATTTGCAACAGTGACCTGGGTCACCAACATGCCAAAATCAGAAACAAACACAACTGTATCTAAGGTGCTCTATAAACCTTATATAAACGCCATTTTTTGTCTGTCTGCTCGTCTGCCCGTCTGTCTTTGTCCGTCTGTCTGTCGCCACCCACACTTGCGAAGGATTTGGCTCGCAAACCATGGGGTTTATGTTTAACAAAAAGTAGCCAGGTACCACGCCGTAAGCCCCGTGGTGAGCCAGCGCTATTCCGTTTTCCCATCCGTCAACTTTAAAGTAGTTAAATAAACAATCTAGTGCTATTTATAATTATTTCATCGCGCCGCGAGTGACACAGCACGCATTTGCGCATGCGCGAAACGCTGACGGGAATTGCCCCTAGCAACGCACACACGCCATCGGCGGAGGAGGGGGGGTTCTCAATCGCGTTAAAAATGCATTTAAAATACACAAAATGCTGAAGTAAATTCTTCAAAGTGTTATGTCCTCTTCTGCCCCCCCCCCTCCACTGCGATGTGTAAAGTTACTACTATAGAGTCGGTAGATGCTACTACTATAGGCCGTATATATTACTGCAGAGCGGACGGGCGGATCGTGGGTGGGGGGGGCGAAGGGTAGCAGCACAGTCCCAGCCTGCCAAGGTGCCACCTCGGCCGGCTGGGCAATCTAGGCGGGGCCAGGGGCCCTGCGTGGGACTAGGCCTCAGCACAGCAGTGTTAAGTACTCTTTTCTTAGTAATAGGTTTTACCCTTTTAACTGGCACAAAAACTGACACCTTTATTCAAGGCATCATGTTTGCAATAACCACAACACAAGCAGTCAAAATGCAAACAAAAGAGACAACTCTGATAATAATATGCACTGTCCTTGAATTTGATTGGTCCACACCCGAGACGGCTTTTCTTCGAGCCTAGTCTCCACTGGTGTTGGACCAGATGACGCCAAAACCTATTACTATATCTTGTTACTGGCAAAGGAGGTCTCAATGTAAATACTATTTTCTTGCTTCCTTTGCTAAACTCACGTAGATAGAAAACTAATATGAAAAAAACAAGTTTGGAAATATTCAAATAAAAATGTTTGTGTGTAGACAACTAATATTTCAAAATTAAGTTGGCAAATATTAAAATATGAATGTGTGTGTCTATGTCCTTGTGTGCGTGTGAGTCGATGTGCATGTGTGGGTCGATGTGTATGTGTGTGAGTCGATGTGTGGGTCCATGTGTGTGTGTAAGTCGATGTTTGTGTGTAAGTTGATGCTTGTGTGTACGTAAATGTGTGTGTAAGTCCATGTGTGTGTGTGTCAGTCTATGTATGTGTGTGGGTCGCTGTGTGTGTGAGTCGATATGTCTGCATGTAAGTCGATGTGTGTGTGTGGCTCTATGTGCGTGTGTGAGTCGATGTGTCTTAGTGCGTGAGTCTATGTGTGTCAGTCGATGTGTGCGTGTAACTCCATGTGTGTGTGTCTAAAGTAGATGTCTGTGTGTGTGAGTCCATATGTGTGTGTAAGTCAATGTGTTTGTATGTGTGTTGGTCGATGTCTGTGTGTGTGTAAGTCGATGTGTGTGTGTCTTTTTCGCCCGGGCAACGCCGGGTACTTCCCGCTAGTATAAAATAAGATAAGAACTGTATCACACGAGGAATTGAAAATATTGCAATCATAGTTCCCTGCAGCACAAATCGGCTCGGGCAGATTTCCTCCAGATTGAACACAGCGCAAACTACAAAAATGAGCTTGACGACACATTTATATTTATGCGATCTAAACCAAAAAAAACATTTATTGCGGAAAAAAACTAGCTATGCAGAAACATTAACATTAAACCGATGTGGGGCGACTCTCGTACTGACGTGTAAACAAGCAAGGATGTGTGTCCAATGCATAATGGCATGAGCCATCACTCTTGAAGAAGTGAGCGCTCGACGGGAGTCGCTGAACCCTGATCACGATTTGGACGCGCAGCTTTTTCGCATTACGTAAAAAATAACCGGTGTGAAAATGTAGCTTCACATATTAACACGTAGGTTTTTTGCGACCAATATCACCCATAATACAGGTTTTTTTGGGGGGGATTAGATCGCGTAAATATATTAATGAAACAGGTGGACTTCTCCACAAATCTGGCTGTCGCCTGATGAAGCTAGTTGTAATTGCTGGCGAAACGTCGTACTCGGATTGTAAATGTTGTGGCTTGGCTCTCCAACACACCGGTGTGCTGTACTAGTGACGAATTGGCATGCTCTGTTTACGTGACAACTCTTACGAGTTGGTCGTGTCGGGTGGTGGCGGGTTTAAGGACATTTATATATTTATGCGATCTAACCAAAACAATACCTGTATTATGGATGTATCTGCACATTTTTCCTCCTTAGGCCATTTTATAACACTTGCCCATGTGTGCGTTCACCACTTACAGTCCTGATTTTCGAGCCGCACAATACAGAAGCCAAGCAGTACCTGCCTGTTATCGAAGCGAGGATCACTCAAGGTCAGTCATCTACCCGCCTCTCTGTATGTTCGTCCTCTCTGTGTACATATTTTTCCGTCTGTCTGCCTTGCAGTCTCTCTGTCTCTACTCGTTTTGTAGCCCTCTCCATCTGTCTTCTTTCTTCCGTATGGCTGCTGATGTAGATGCAGAGCAACGACGACAATTTCACATTCAGGTGGTCAAGCCAAGATAACCACGTCAGGAGTAGCGGAGTGTATCGCTGTAATGTCTCCTTCATATTTGTGGATCCGGCATTGCATCGTTATATATTGTATGGTAATTTCTGGATGACCACAGTCGCATACTGGAGAGTTTTTAATTTTCAATTTGTGCATCAGTTTTCCGAATCTGCCACGGTTTGTACGGATGCGATTTAGGGTGGACCATGAGCTTCGTGGAAGATAAAACCCATGGATCTTCTGCGTTGGGTCTTTCGCAAGGTGTTTGTTTGTGAGTTCTTTATAACTCCATTCAGCTCTCCAGGCTTCATCGAGGTTGAATTTACATTGTTTAAGGTTAAGCGCATGAGTTCAAAAGGGCTTGCCGTGACCTCATGCGACGACGAGGGACATTATTGAGGTCCTGATGATTGGGAAGGCGACTGTTTTCCTCGATTCACAGGACTTCCCAGATGGTTGCAGCGTTGCGTCTGTATGTGTACATATCTCACAGATATTTGTGTAAAGGATGCCGAAAGGTGAACCCTGTTAATAAATAAATACACAATAAATACTCACCGGGACTTAATGGCTCGCGAGTTAAATAGTGATCTCGAGTCTCATTGGCGGGGAGCTATCATGGGGGGAGGAGCCTACCTCATCGTGCACGATCTGATTGGAAGGTGGAGAACCATTGAAATCGGATTGGTCATCAGGGTAATATAAAGGAGCCCAGGAAAATATCCAAACGGAAATGAGGGGTCGTTCGGGAGACCGTTACCGAAAGCCCCATAGAATAGGATAAAACGAGCGGAGTAGAAGGGTTTCGGGGCACCTGAACTGATGAATTACCTGAAGTGTTACGATGTGCTGTGCGAGAGACGTAATAAGGTCTAAGTTCAAGACTTACACAGGCCCCGAAATCCATTAGACTTTTTAGTTTTTACACAAAAGCTTACGTGACAAATATCATCCATAATAGTTTTTTTAATGGAATTGTGTTTGCAGAAATATTTATTTATTCATGTCGTGTTGTATGTAATGGCTTCAAATGACTCCTCAAATCACCAAAGGTGCTACATTCACCAGTATTAAAATATAATCTGTTCTCGAATCACAACCCTAAATCATAAAATCACAAAAGGTGTGAATTATCACCCCACAGCCTGCTAATGTGTAGCATTATAGCAAAGGACCTACTGCTGATGAAACTTCATCAGTCAAATGGTCAAGGGGTTGCCTTTAATTACACAAACACCACGACTAAGACACACTGTCTCAGAATACCTGTCGGTCAGCAGACAACACATTTCCGAATTATACACGCTGCACATTGTTCTGCATTTATTCATTGTATAGGAATCTGTGTCTTGCTGCATTTATTTTCTGACACTGTGTGTGCGTTATCTGCTTTCGCTAGAGGTCGAGGCATCGCAACATGAAGACAGCAGCGATGAAGATGATTATGAAGAGAGTGATGATGACGACAATGATGATCTCGACGATGACGACGATGATGAGAATGATGATGACAGTGAAGAGGATGAAGAAGAACCTTTCAGACGCAATGCATTATGCTTAAACCTTCAACAAATTAGCATCAATTAATACATCGTTACAATTGGATTCAAGTCAGCACATTGTCATTTCAAGACATTGTCACTCCATCAAGGGAGACATTGGAGTATTAAACAGTGGTCCTTTACTGAGTGCAAAGAGACTCTGAATACCTCGTACCTTGCCATAGTTAGTTTGTCAGTTAATGCTTTATGGAACAGCGACATTAACATCATCGACCATGGTCATTCCACTGCTGGTTGAAGCCCTTCCCAAGTTGCCACCACCCTTTTACAATTCTGTTCTGTAATAATCCATCTCGCATCTATAAACGGACTGATTTTATTTCTCCATCTCCTTGGTTAGTTAGATATATGTTTTAGAAGAATGATCCGTGGATAGTCTACTTTGTCAACAATGTTCTCAATGCAACGCACTCCCTGATGCATAAAACCGCATAAACAATAACACGTTTAATAATAGGGTTTTTCCCCTTTTTTCTGGCAACAAAACTGAAACCTTTTTACAAGGATTCATGTCTGCATTAACCACAATACCTGCAGTCAAAATGCAAACAAAAAACACACTATGATAATGTATGCATTGTCCTTGAAACTGATTGGTCCACACCAAGGGACGGCTTTCTTTTGAGCCTCGACCCAATTGGTGCTCGACCACATGACGCCAAAAGGCGTCTAATGATGTAAATAACACGTTTGTGTGGCATTGTTCTGTGGAACGGTGTTGACTTTCAAAGCGATTATATTTCACACTATGGCAGCCAACGGTGGCTTAATTTTGAATGGAAAGCCTGATATAATTACCACACGTGGCTCAATAATTAGTGGCTGGAGTTCTTGTGGCAGGACGAGCCTTTTAATCAGTTGTCGACAGATTTTGTTGGTGATTCTGCGTTGTCTGTGATGCAGAAGTACAAGTAACAAACAACAACAAAACATTTGTCAATAACACAGCCTTAAAAAAAGTATGGATCAGTTAACGTTTCGTGCAATGGCCTGTATTTACGGCCGATAGAGAGCTCAGAGAGGTAGAGTGAGAGGTCACCATAACACTCTGACCCTTCAATGTGCTGTGAAGAATGGTCATTCTTCAAGAAAGGGCATTCTTCACAGCACATAGAGATGTCAGGGAGGTGACACAGGCCACTCGAACTCTAGCCTCTGTGCTGCTGTGAACAAAGGCCATTGACATAATCGTCGCCTATGACATGTTCTGATCAATGTGGCTAGTTTTTCAATCCCTATAACAGCAACACAACTTTACATTAAGTGCCCATTCACGTTTACGAATTAACGCACAGACAGCGAATGCGTACATGGAGAAAGCTTTAAAAATGTTCTACTGATTGTATCTGGTTTCAAATGAACAACACCCATTTTGCCTATAAGTAGGTAACGCTAAAACACTCATGACACTAAATAGCACGAGAACACGTGACAGGTGACAGGTGAGCCGCAAGAAAGCTCCCATCTCCCACCCAAGTCCCGATCCCCTTCATGGGATCGCGCTGTCGTCATCCTGGAATCTCACTCGGATCCGGAAGAACGCTGGAAAAAAGTGGAACAACGCGGACGTCCAGAACAAACATCGCATTCGAGACCCAAACATCGCGCACCTCCTAAGCGTTGAAATTTCTCGTCGAAGACACTGGTGGCATAAACATCATCTGCTTCACAACAACAGGTTGCCGATGCGCACACCTTCATGAATGGAAAATTAAAGACAAGCCACAGTAGTGCCACTGTGGCCATGCAACCCAAACTTTGGACCACACACTAAGCCACTGGTCTGCGCTCCTTCAAAGGAGGAATTGCAAAACCACGAACTCTCTTCTACGATTTTCTCTCTCGTGGCCAGCAGCAGACATTGACATTTAGCTCCTGAGAATATTTGCCATCACACGCAAGAATATAATAAATAATGTTAACGCACCGATTGACTTAAACATTGTGATGCAGATGGACGCAAAGGGCTTTGTAATTGTTTTTTTAAAGTTAACCCCATGCGTTCTCATACTGGCATTTTTTATGTCCACCAACCAGTTTTTGCTGGCCTTTAAACTTCCATCGGCAATTTTGGTACCAGTCAGAACATGACTGACATTTCTCCCCTCCATTATTGTAGGAATGTGGAAATATCTCCCACCGGCTAAGGAGTAAACAAAGGATCTGTATGTGTGTTGAACTTCCTTCGTACCTTACGAAGCCAACCGTGCTCATCGAGGATGAGCGCCTCCACTCATTTAGATGGACACCGAGATTGTAAAAGGAGATACAGTATTTTCAAATTGACAAATACGGTGTTTACAATTGTTTGCATGGAACAAAAGTCTGCTATATGTATCGACAGGTAAGATATATGGAGAGTGATTTGTAGAGCTCAGACTGAAGTCCATGGCCCGTAGAGTAGTAACTTTACATAACCTAAAGATGAGTAACTCCAGTTTGTTTTGGTAAAACAAGCAATGAAGACATACAAAAAGTTCGTTAAAAGGCAAAGTCTGCACTATAGGAGTCTGTAATGAATATGCATCAGCAATACAGGAGTCAGCATTCAATTCTGTAGCAGGGCGATTGCTTGGTATATTAGCTTTTCGTACACGGCCATTTGCCAATCCCATGCTGCATGAGGGCCTCCGTGCCGTGAGAGTGGCGGGGGTTAACCGACCGAGCTTAACCCACGATGGTCAATGCGGTTTTGGTGAAGGCAGGGAGCATAGACGTACAGTACAGTAATGGATTTTGCCTCGGTTCCCCTCTGCTGTCTACAAAAACCTGGCGTGCAGCATGCTGGTCGCCCAATCCATGGCCTGGCGGCAGCGTGGTTTTACGGCTGTCATTAAGTGATGCATCCTATGACTAAATCATCCGGAATTGCACCCGATTCCGTCGGAACTCATTCGTTAAGGCACAGTGATGTTTGGTCAAATAGTGTAGCGTGAGCTGGGCACTGTTCGTATAGACACGTGTTGTACACCCGTGTAGAGTGAGCTGGGCACTGTTCGTACAGACACGTGTTGTACACCAGTGTAGAGTGAGCTGGGCACTGTTCGTATAGACACGTGTTGTACACCAGTGTAGAGTGAGCTGGGCACTGTTCGTATAGACACGTGTTGTTCACCAGTGTAGAGTGAGCTGGGCACTGTTCGTATAGACACGTGTTGTTCACCAGTGTAGAGTGAGCTGGGCACTGTTCGTATAGACACGTGTTGTACACCAATGCAGAGTGAGCTGGGCACTGTTCGTATAGACACGTGTTGTTCACCAGTGTAGAGTGAGCTGGGCACTGTTCGTATAGACACGTGTTGTACACCAGTGTAGAGTGAGCTGGGCACTATTCGTATAGACACGTGTTGTACACCAGTGTAGAGTGAGCTGGGCACTGTTCGTATAGACACGTGTTGTTCACCAGTGTAGAGTGAGCTGGGCACTGTTCGTATAGACACGTGTTGTACACCAATGCAGAGTGAGCTGGGCACTATTCGTATAGACACGTGTTGTAAACCACTCACCAACTCAGCGGTCCATCGGCCTGGAACTCAACCAGTTCAGTAGAAAATACAAGAGCTTGGTAATAGAGCTTACAACGTATGAATACTGCGCACCCGTGCTAACCAAGGTGATAAGAGTTGCGCATTTATAAATGTACTTACTCGCTACCTGGCATCGCAGGGATTGGATTGTAACGAGATGTTTGTCGTATTGCGTTGAACTTCATTGCAGTAATCCGCCCGGTTTTGATAGACGTAGGCAGTGCCGGATTAAGCCGGTGCGGAGCCTTCAGCATGTTATAAATGGGCCCTAAATAAAAAAAAACACAAATATTAAAATACATTAATTTTTAACTTGCTTAGTAAAGTAATTGTATTTTTTCATTTGATATACAGCCAGACAATACGAAAAATCATTCACCTTATACACCCAGTCGTTCATAAAAGTTGAAGGCGGTATAGTACTATAGTCATAGAGCAAGTGCAGAACCACTGAACCGGAATTGATAGCTTGAAAGCATTTAGCGCGGGGCCCTTGAAAGTGCGGGACCCGTAGCTACTACATGTGTAGTAGCTACCACACGTGTAGCTACCACACGTGTAGCTACCACACGTGTAGCTACCACACGTGTAGCTACCACACGTGTAGCTACCACACGTGTAGCTACCACACGTGTAGCTACCACACGTGTAGCTACCACACGTGTAGCTACCACACGTGTAGCTACCACACGTGTAGCTACCACACGTGTAGCTACCACACGTGTAGCTACCACACGTGTAGCTACCACACGTGTAGCTACCACACGTGTAGCTACCACACGTGTAGCTACCACACGTGTAGCTACCACACGTGTAGCTACCACACGTGTAGCTACCACACGTGTAGCTACCACACGTGTAGCTACCACACGTGTAGCTACCACACGTGTAGCTACCACACGTGTAGCTACCACACGTGTAGCTACCACACGTGTAGCTACCACACGTGTAGCTACCACACGTGTAGCTACCACACGTGTAGCTACCACACGTGTAGCTACCACACGTGTAGCTACCACACGTGTAGCTACCACACGTGTAGCTACCACACGTGTAGCTACCACACGTGCCACAGAGATAATCCGGCACTGGACGAAAGGCCGACTGCGTAACATGCCCGGGGGTTTTGGCCTGGGGGAAGAAAAAAAAAGGTTGCAACCCTCGAGTGGGGAGAGCTCTCATCTAGCAGTGGATTGACAAACAAGACGGCGCACGTGCTCGCGTCGGACACGTGATGCAGGTGGACAATGGGTCGGGCAGAATGGACGCTCGCGTCGGAATGAACCGCGTGCCGAGGCGCGTTAATGGTGTTACTTGAATCGTTCCCTTTCATAGTCTCGCTTGAGTGGACCGCTGTGCTTGCACTACGCATGCAGAGTTGTGTAGATGTGTCTATGTGTACGTGCGTGTGTTCAGATCTCTTCTGTTAAACTTCGTAGACCACAGTCTAGTACACCTCCGATGAGAACCAGACAATACCTATTGTGGGTGTGTACATGGAACATCTGTTTCTAGGGCTATGTGTGCGCGCTGTTAGTGAACGCAAGCAATCCTATATGGTTACGTACATTTTTGCAACCTGGAAAACCAGTAGCTCACACACACATATTCCCCATGTAGCCTGTGCACACTGTTGGGGAAAGTGCCGTTCGTGAGCACCTGTTAAGGTATGGTGTATAGTGTGGACAAAACCATACGTGGCCTTCACTATTATGTTCACATCTAGCGATGTCTCCCGCTTGTGCCAAGCTAGGTGGAGTGAGGCTACGTGAAGCATCAAAGGTTTTATAGCAAGGAGGTCGTGGTACATCAGCCTCCCATTGTATCTGTATCAAATGGACGTTTCACTGGTAGAAGCTTGCAGAAACACAGCCATCATAAGATCAGGCCTTCCTCGCTGAGGGGGGGGGGGGGGTTCTCCCTTCCCCAACATGTCAGCTCAGCTAATCTCCAGACCTATTCCTTGGGATCAGAGATGGGATCGCTTGATGATGGGTAATAGGGGTAGTGCTACAGGCTCGTTATATTATATCAACGAGTAATTTGTGATCGTGGGCCACTTAAACAAGTTTTCATCTCCTCGGTCGTGGAGTATGTAGATGGTGAGAATGGACCCGCCGCTGTAAGCCAGGGCTTCTAGGAACACCGCACTGGCTCCCTAACGGCAGCCATAGCAGCTGCAAGAGTCACGGTCCTTAAGCTCAACCATTTCCCCCTCGGCGTCGGCTTGAGACAGATGTTAATTGCAGCTGCAGGTGATGTTCACATTTCTCTCTACGCAAAGACACACGTGCCGCACACCCACACAGAATAGCATTTTTCAGCAAACACACCCATACACCCCCATACACAAACTGCCATACAGCCACACAAAGTGAGCTCGTGAATGAAACGCAGGGCTTAGCAAATCTAACGTAGTTATAGAGCTTGATGGTATATAGTGGCAGCGTCGTCAAGGATAGGCAATAAGGGTAGTAGCCATCACATCTCTCTTATGACACCAGCTTTGGCAAGAAAATCACGGAAGCGAAGTGTGATAAATGGGTGGTCATCGACTAGTCTATAAAGACAAAAAAAATTGACTTTAAATTAACACCACCACCGCCGCCACAATTATTGGCATATTAATTTGGAGTCAAGACGATAAGAGCGCGGTACTCAGACACAGCCTCTTTAACATGGATAACTTCCGTGCCAACTGGTATCTGGAATGATGACTCAATAATTCCTCTGTTCATAGAGAGCATACTATGCTACACCTACTATAATCACCCAGGAATGTCCTTAACGCTCGTGACGTCACTCCACGTCGACCATCTCCCCTCATTAATATTCACGAGCAGGTGACGCCCTCCAAATGGACCCCCCCCCCCATTATTATTACCGACTATAATGAGCCAAGAATGTCTGTGTGCAACGCTCGTGACGTCACTCCACGTCGATCAGCCCCCCTCATTAATGATCATTAACAGGTGACGTCCTCCACATGGACCCCCTCCCCCTCATTAATAATCATGAGCAGGTGACGTCACTCCACATCGAACAACCCCCCTCATTTATAATCATTATAAGGTGACGTCCTCCACATGGACACCCCCCCCCCCCCCCCCATTCAACTCACAACCCTCACTACAAAGGCAGAACCCTCACGTCACGTGATCTCCGTCACGTTGTTGAGACGTATAAGTAAAAATGACGTCGTGATGAACAAGGGATTATAACCTTAAAATGAGTTAGGTCTATGTCACCGCGACCTTACAAATTATCACCGCGCCCTTACAAATTGCACACGAATTAATGCAATGACTATATCACGTCGCGGTCTGCTTTTCGCTTGCAAGTTTCAGATTTACTGCAATACACCCGTCCTTGGACGGGCAAAAGGTTCTTATACACGTTTCTGGTATGGAGTAGTTCTGTAAAAAAAAACATCTGGCGTGCCTTGCGGCAACGTGCGCGGACTCGGTGTTTTATTTTTCACACCGTAAGGCGAGGGTGCATTACCGTAAGATGATTAAACAAAACTAAAATGTTGTTTTTATATACTGTGATGCACAGGCATGTAACGGCCCGACGCTTTTGTCAAATAAGCCCTTGCACAAAGAACGGAATGGGTGACGTTTCGGGCAATGGCCCTTCGTAGCAAAGAAGGGCCATTGTCCCAAAACGTCAGCCGTTGTTTCCTGTACGCTGCTGGATCATGGTCTCTCTGTGCCATTGTCATCATTTGCGATATTAAAAGCGATATTTATTTATTTAGCAAATACAATAGGATACGGTTATTATGGATGGGTCGCACATTTGCACTCTAGCCAGTAACGTAATAAATGAACATAAAACACCCCTCCTGCAACGTACGTCTCCCCCTTTTTTTTAAACGACGAAAGTACTTCGTAGTGGTGGTGCCTTCCGTCGACACTTTACTCCTCACCAGTCTTGCAGCGTTCCGGAAAATACCGAGGTGAGGAATGAAACCGAGTGTGACTGTCTGAAGTAAGGACCAGGGTCTGGGAGGGGGAAGAGGGGGGGGGGGGGTGTTAGTAGGTCTGCGTTTCGTAACAACACCTACCTTGCCGTGCTCACCCTTCCATCACCACCCACCCCCAAATCACCACCCACGTCCTCGCCAGACATCAACCGCCCCCCCCCCACCACCACCACTACTATCAGCAAGCAGCCTCGGGCAGCCCAGCCTCGCTGACTCTGTCCGCCACCGCTGCCTTAGCCAACATTCGCTCGCCAAAGCCCTCTCGACCGCACGCACGCACGCACGCGCCACCCAGCTAGCGGCAGCGCCAGCAGCAGGAGTGTGAAGCAAGAGAGGGAGGAGGAGGAAGGGGAGCGCATTCAACAAGCCAGCCAAGCCAGCGGACAATCATTCACCGGAGTACAGGTGTGCAGAGGTGGGTGAGGTGAAGCCGGACCGCGCGCGTGTACCCGTGCGCGCACGCGTACGCGTGTTTTTTCTAATATACATGCGCGCACGAATACGCGCGTGTGCAGGTGAGAGTATCGCGTGTGTGTTCATATTTGTGTGCGTACATTTATGCTTTTATACGTGGTGGTTTTTTGCGCGTCGTTTCTAATGTAAAAGCGTGGGGTAGTGTCGTGGTTAGCGCACGAAGCTACAACCCCGGCGACCTGAGTTCGCCTCCCGCTCGCGGCCCAACACCCGTCACTATTACCAGAACCGGTGCGGTGCCTCCACCTAGGAAGATAAAAGCGTCCGGGTGTGATCTTTGCCACACCAACCCCATCTTGTGCTGTCGACCTTCATAAGGTGCTCTCAGACAGCACTTGCCCCAACAGTCTGTTAAGACTGGACGGGGGCGCTTTTTAAAATTATGTATTTATGTGTACGCACATGCACGTGTGTGCTCTTCTCTCTGCTGTACACGTGCATGCGTTTCATATGGCCCGCAGCCATCCTCATTAGCGAGTCGGATCTGAACCGCTCCAGTGCCACCCAAAGGTCTGCTCGGCCTTAATTAGTGCGATGTGTAATCGTCAACACTGGGGATACAAAGGCGGCCGGGCGTGGTGTTGATTACACACTCTGCGAGCGCCGTCGTGGTCTCTTAATAGGTGCTTGCGATCTGCACTTCAACAATATCTAGGTTGTACGGGGAGGGTATTTGCACTGACGCCTGTGTATGGGTTGTGTGTAATGAACGTACACGTATACGGTTAGCGCTACGCTGCGCTACGAACTTTGCGATCCAGAGTTCGATTCCCGTTCACGATCAACGACCGGTGACGATTATCTAAACGGGTCCTGGATCTCGCCTGGGTCGACACTGCCTCGTGAGTAACCTGGTGCGGTGTGTAAACATCGCCACTAGAGAGACAAAGGCGGCCGGGCGTGGTGCTGCCCCCCCCCATCGTGTGCCGTGCCGGCCTTCATCGGTGCTCGCTAACAGCACTTGCCCGAAAAGTCTTGGGGCTATACGGGGGATCTTTGTACATGCATATACTCATTTGTGTATTTACATATACGTGTTTTTTATATTACGTTTATTACATCCGTTTTAATTACCGGTAACCGTTAGGAAAAAATCTTTCGGTTTTTTTTCCGCACGAATAGAACTACCGAGCACTACGCTGGAGTTTTATCATTTATTTTTAACGAAGTGACGTAGGGACCTTCCACCGCTTCATAGCTCTTCGGATTTCGCCCAGAATAAATATTCCGAGTCTGCTATCGCAGCGGATTTGCAATCCAGAAATCGTCGGGTTTAATTCGATCGGCAGGTTGCGTCCGGTGGGGTAAAGTGTGGGTACCCCACCCCCCCTCTTCCAAAACGTCCGATCGGCGTGGAGGAGTAGACCAAATGCCCTCCGGGGAAATCCATCCTTGTGGAGAGGCCCTTACGCTAGCAGTGGCGTGAGAAAATCGGCAGTTGCAGGGCTGCGCCTTTTACCCCCCCCCCCCTTTTTAACTTGAGAAACGAGGGCACGATCTTACCACGCGGTGACTCGGGCTGCCGTCCCGTTTGTACGCGCGCGTGTGTGCCCGCTACCGACGCTCCACTCGACAACGACCACCGTTTTCTGATCTTCCTAAAACGGTAAATAGATTCTGGAAACTTACCGGTTTCCCGATTATATCGTTAAACATCACCCGCACCCCCCCCCCTCCACATTATCAAATCGCAATTAAATTCAACCATAATCTCAATGGCTAATTGCGAGGTTAATTAACCAACGTGCCTTTTTAATCTGAATCTCCAAAGTGACATCTGGCTTAGTAGAGGACGTCGTTCAAAAATATAAAATCCGTTTCAATTGCTGATGTGGTAACACAAAAAAGGGACTTTAATAGAAGACTATTAATCTCGGTGCGAGCTCACCCGGCTAAATAAAGCACGTAATAAAAAAATTAATGATCCATATCAATTGCTCGTCACCTGTGGTTCAATAAAGGACTTGGATCCCAACGATAACGCCACAACGAATCTCCATGAGGCTTCGGCTGGATACATTAATTCTCGTGTACAAATCGCACTCATTTAAAAAAAAACAATCTACTGTGAGATGAATGACCCCCCCCCCCCCCACCACTTCGTTTTGTTGTTTGACCATACTTCACCGCGTTGGTTAGTAGCGGGCCAGTGGAGTTGGGGGGGGGGGGATTTGTGTGCGAGTGCAAAGACCGGTGGAAGATATCCATCGGATGTTAGAGCCCTGCCCGGGAATCGAACCCGATTAGAGCCGAGTTTACGGCGCAGTGCGCTAACCACTGCGCCACCGCTCAATCCCGGGCGAAAGTACGGTCGGTCAAAAATAATCTTGCCTATAAATTGCTCATTACAATTGTATATGGAATGTTAGATAAAGCAGGGCAATCGGGGAGTACACGACGCTCTCTATAGGCTACCATAGCCATCACCCGTACCCTAGCTTCAACAGGTGCTCGCTGACTAACAGATGCGCATTGCCATGCACAACAGGTGAACGCGTACAGGTGTGTGCGCGCATTGCCATGCACAACAGGTGAACGCGTACAGGTGTGTGCGCGCATTGCCATGCACAACAGGTGAACGCGTACAGGTGTGCGCGCGCCTGATCTGAGCTCATCTGTGCACTGCGCTACGCTGACGTGCGCGCGCTCATGCGCAAAGTGTGCGCGGCGCGCGTGCGCGGCGCGCGTGCGCGGCGCGCGTGCACGGCGCGCGTGCACGGCGCGCGTGCACGGCGCGCGTGCACGGCGCGCGTGCACGGCGCGCGTGCACGGCGCGCGTGCACGGCGCGCGTGCACGGCGCGCGTGCACGGCGCGCGTGCACGGCGCGCGTGCGCGTTTTTCTTTGTATGTAGCCCAGCGGGTTGGCTGACTGCGCTTCGCGACACGGCGTCCCGAGTTAGATTCGCGCTCACGGTCGACATCATCTGACGAATACCTGTACCGGTGATGATGATCGTCTTCCCCCTCCTCCTCCCCCCTGCCTAACTCGACTCATCCTTTGTGTTTGTTTTGTTTTTAAACACGAGTACCTGGTGCGGGTGTATAAACGTCGGCACTGGGCGAGACAAAGACGGCCGGCCGTTTGTGAAGGTGCTCTCTAAAAGCACAGTGCTTGCCCCAATGGTCTGGCGAATGCGGGGTGCTTTGTGTGGATGTAGTATTTGCGCGTCGTGCGGTATATGGCTGGGTAGTTGTCGAATCTAATAACTATGACTGTGTACTGTATCAACACGCACACACTTTTGGAGGGCGGGTGGTTGACTGCACTAGGGTTCGAGATTTGCAAGTGCACGCACGGCTACTGATACGTGTACTATACACAAGTATACGTGTACTACAGTGAGGGGAAAAAAGTATTTGATCCCCTGCTGATTGTGTACGTTTGCCCACTGACAAAGAAATGATCAGTCTGTAATTGTAATGGTAGGTTTATTTGGACAGTTAGAGACAGAATAACAACAACCACAATCCAGAAAAACGCATGTCAAAAATTGATTTGCATTTTAATGAGGGAAATAAGTATTTGACCCCCTCTCAATCAAATTTCTGGCTCCCGGGTGTCTTTTATACAGGTAACGAGCTGAGATTAGGAGCACACTCTTAAAGGGAGTGCTCCTAATCTCAGCTTGTAACCTGTATAAAAGACACCTGTCCACAGAAGCAATCAATTAATCAGATTCCAAACTCTCCACCATGGCCAAGACCAAATAGCTCTCCAAGGATGTCAGGGGCAAGATTGTAGACCTACACAAGGCTGGAATGGGCTGCAAGATCATTGCCAAGCAGCTTGGTGAGAAGGTGACAACAGTTGGTGCGATTATTCGCAAATGGAAGAAACACAAAATAACTGCCAATCTCCCTCGGCCTGGGGCTCCATGCAAGATCTCACCTGGTGGAGTTACAATGATCATGAGAACGGTGAGGAATCAGCCCAGAACTACACGGGAGGATCTTGTCAATGATTTCAAGGCAGCTGGGACCATAGTCACCAAGAAAACAATTGGTAACACACTATGCCATGAAGGATTGAAATCCTGCAGCACCCGCAAGGTCCCCCTGCTCAAGAAAGCACATGTACATGCCCGTTTGAAGTTTCCCAATGAACATCTGAATGATTCAGAGGACAACTGGGTGAAAGTGTTGTGGTCAGATGAGACCAAAATGGAGCTCTTTGGCATCAACTCAACTCGCCTTGTTTGGAGGAGGAATGCTGTATATGACCCCAAGAACACCATCCCCACCGTCAAACATGGAAGTGGAAACATTATGCTTTGGGTGTTTTTCTGCTTAGGGGACGAGACAACTTCACCGCATCAAAGGGAGGATGGACGGGGCCATGTACCGTCAAATCTTGGGTGAGAACCTCCTTCCCTCAGCCAGGGCATTGAAAATGGGTCGTGGATGGGTATTCCAGCATGACAATGACCCAAAACACACGGCCAAGGCAACAAAGAAGTGGCTCAAGAAGAAGCAAATTAAGGTCCTGGAGTGGCCTAGCCAGTCTCCAGACCTTAATCCCATAGAAAATCTGTGGACGGAGCTGAAGGTTCGAGTTGCCAAACGTCAGCCTCAACCTTAATGACTTGGAGAAGATCTGCAAAGAGGAGTGGGACAAAATCCCTCCTGAGATGTGTGCAAACCTGGTGGCCAACTACAAGAAACGTCTGACCTCTGTGATTGCCAACAAGGGTTTTGCCACCAAGTATTAAGTCATGTTTTGCAGAGGGGTCAAATACTTACTTTCCTCATTAAAATGCAAATCAATTTATAACATTTTTGACATGCGTTTTTCTGGATTTTTTTGTTGTTTTTCTGTCTCTCACTGTTCAAATAAACCTACCATTAAAATTATAGACCGATCATTTCTTTGTCAGTGGGCAAACGGACAGAAACAGTAGGGGATCAAATACTTTTTTTCCCTCACTGTATACACAAGTATG